GTATAGTTTGAAGTCAGGTAGCGTGATAACTCCAGCTTTGTTCTTTTTGCTTAGAATTGACTTGCCTATGTAGGCTCTCTTTTGGTTCCATATGAAGTTAAAGGTGGTTTTTTCCAGTTCTGTGAAGGTCATTGGTAGCTGGATGGGGTAGCATTGAATCTATAAATTACTTTGGGCAGTGTGGCGATTTTCACAATATTGATTCTTCCTAACCATGAGCATGTAATGTTTCTCCATCTGTTTGTGTTCTCTCTTATTTCATTGAGCAATGGTTTGCAGTTCTCCTTGAAGAGGTCCTTTACATCCTTTGTTAGTTGTATTCCTAGGTATTTTATTCTCCTTGTAGCAGTTGTGAATGACAGTTCATTCTTGATTTGGCTCTCTTTAAGCCTGTTATTGGTATATAGAAATGCTTGTGATTTTTTCACATTGATTTTATATACTGACTTTGCTGAAGTTGCTTATCAATTTCAGGAGATTTTGGGCTGAGATGATGGGGGTCTTCTAAACATACAATCATGTCATCTGCAAATGGAGACAATTTGACTTCCTCCTTTCCTAACTAAATACCCTTTATTTCTTTTTCTTGCCTGATTGCTCTGGCTAGAATTTCCAATACTATATTGAATAGGAGTGGTGAGAGAGGGCACCCTTGTCTAGTGCCAGATTTCAAAGGGAATGCTTCCAGTTTTTGCCCATTCAGTATGATATTGGCTGTGGGTTTGTTGTAAATAGCTTTTATTATTTTGAGATATGTTCCATCAATACCTAGTTTATTGTGAATTTTTAGCATAAAGCACTGTTGAATTTTGTCGAAGGCCTTCTCTGCATCTATTGAGATAATCATGTGGTTTTTGCCTTTGGTTCTGTTTATCTGGTGAATTACACTTATAGACTTGCGTATGTTGAACCAGTCTTGCATCCCTGGGATGAAGCCTACTTGACCGTAATGGATAAAGTTTTTTGATGTGTTGTTGCAATCAGTTTGTCAGTATTGTGCTGAAGATTTTTGCATCTATGTTCATCATGGATATTGGCCTGATGTTTTCTTTTCTTGTTGAGTCTCTGCCAGGTTTTGGTATCAGGATGATGTTGGCCTCATAAATGATTTGGGAAGGATTCCCTCTTTTTGGATTGTTTGGAACAGTTTCAGAAAGAGTAGTACCAGCTCATCTTTGTATGTCTGGTAGAATTCGGCTGTGAACTCCTCTGTACCTGGGCTTTTTTTTGATTAGTAGGCTTTTAATTTCTCCCTCAACTTCAGCCCTTGTAATTGGTCTATTTAGGATTTAGACTTCTTCCTGGTTTAGGCTTGGGAGGGTGCAAGTGTCTAAGAATTTATCCATTTCTTCTAGGTTTACTTGCTTATGTTCATAGAGTTGTTTGTAGTAATCTCTGATGGTGGTTTGTATTTCTGTGGAATCTGTGGTGATATCCCCTTTATCATTTTTTATTGCATCTATTTGGTTATTCTCTCTTTTTTATTACTCTGGCTAGTGGTCTATTTTGTTGATCTTTTCAAAAAAACAAGCTCCTGGATTTATTGATGTTTTGAAGGGGGTTTTGTGTCTCCATCTTTTTCAGTTCTGCTCTGATCTCAGTTATTTCTTGTCTTCTGCTAGCTTTTGAGTTGTTTTGATCATGCTCCTCTAGCTCTTTCAATTGTGACAATAGGGTGTCAATTTTAGATCTTTCCTTGCTTCTCATGTGGGCACTTATTGCTATAAATTGTCCTCTAGACACTGATTTAAATGTGTCCCAGAGATTCTGATATGTTGTGTCTTTGTTCTCATTGGTTTCAAAGAACATCTTTATTTCTGCCCTCATTTCATTATTTAGTCAACATTCAAGTGCCAGTTGTTCAGTTTCCATGAAGCTGTGCGGTTCTGAGTTAGTTTCTGAATTCCGAGTTCTAACTTGATTGCACTGTGGTCTGAGAGACTGTTTGTTATAATTTCTGTTCTTTTGCATTTGCTGAGGAGTTATTTACTTCCAATTATGTGGTCAATTTTCGAGTAGGTGTGATTTGGTGCTGAGAAGATGTGTATTCTGTCGATTTGGTGTGGAGAGTTCTGTACATGTCTATTAGGTTAGCTTGGTCCAAGTCTGAGTCCAAGTCCTAGATATCCTTGGTAATTTTCTGTCTTGTTGATCTGTCTAATATTGATGGTGGAGTGTTAAAGTCTCCCACTATTATTGTGTGGGAGTCTTAGTCTCTTCGTAGATCATTTAGAACTTGTTTTATGTAACTGGGTGCTCCTGTATTGGGTGCGTATATATTTAGGATCATTAGCTCTTCTTGTTGCATTGATCCTTTTACAATTATGTAATGCCCTTCATTGTCTCTTTTGATCTTTGTTGGTTTAAAATTTATTTTATCAAAGACTAGGATTCCAACTCATGCTTTATTTTGCTATTTCTTTGGTAAATCTTCCTCCATCCCTTTATTTTGAGCCTATGCGTTTCCTTGCATGTGAGATGGGTTTTGACTTTTTATCCAATTTGACAGTCTGTGTCTTTCGATTGGGGCATTTAGCCCATTTATATTTAATGTTGACATTGTTATGTATGAATTTGACCCTGCCACTTTGATGCTAGCTGGTAGTTTTGCCTATTAGTTGACACAGTTTCTTCATTGTGTTGATGCTCTTTACTATTTGGTACATTTTTGGAGTAGCTGGTACTGATTTTTCCTTTCTATGTTTAGTGCTTATTTCAGGAGCTCTTGTAAAGCAGGCCTGGTGGTGATAAAATCTCTGAGCAACTGCTTGTTTGTAAAGGATTTTATTTCTCCTTCGCTTATGAAGAAGACTGGATATGAAATTCTAGGTTGAAAGTTCTTTTCTTTAATGATGTTGAATATTGGCCCCCACTCTTTTCTGGCTTGTAGGGTTTATGCTAAGAGATCCACAGTTAAGTCTGATGGGCTTCCCTTTGTGGGTAACCAAACCTTTCTCTCTGGCTGCCCTTGGCATCTTTTCCTTCATTTCAACTCTGGTCAATCTGACTATTACATGCCTTGGGGTTGCTCTTGTTGAGGAATAACTTTGTGGTGTTCTGTATTTCCTGGACTTGAATATTGGCCTGCCTTGCTAGGTTTGCAAAGTTCTCCTGGATAACCTGAAGAGTGTTTGCCAGCTTGGATTCATTCTCTCTCTCACATTCAAGTACACCTATCAAACACAGATTAGGTCTTTCCACATAATCTCATATTTCTTGGAGGCTTTGTTCATTTCTTTTTACCCTTTCTTCTCTAATCTTGCCTTTCCATTTTATTTCATTGAGTTGATCTTCAATCTCTGATATCCTTTCTTCTGCTTGGTCAATTTGGCTACTGAAACTTGTGTATGCTTCACAAAGTTCTCATGTTGTGTTTTTCAGCTCCATCAATTCATTTATATTCCTCTCTAAGCTGTTTATTCTTGTTATCATTTCATCAAACCTTTTTCAAGTCTTAGTTTCTTTGCATTCAGTTAGAACATACTCTTTTGGCTCAGAGAACTGTGTTATTAGCCACCTTTTGAAGCCTCTTTCTGTCAATTCATCTGACTCATTCTCCATCCAGCCTTGTTCCCTTGCTGGTGAGGAGTTGGGATACTTTGGAAGAGGAGAGGCATTCTGGTTTTGAGTGTTTTCATCCTTTTTGTGCTGGTTTCTTCCCATCTTTGTGGATTTATCTACCTATGGTCTTTGTAATTGGTGACTTTCAGATGGGGTCTCTGAGTGGACATCCTTTTTGTTGATGATGAAGTTATTTCTTTCTGTTTCTTCATTTTCCTTCTAACAGGCCCCTCTGCTGTAGGACTCCTGGAGGTCCACTCCAGAGCCTACATGCCTGGGGATCACCTGCAGTGGCTGCAGAATAGTAAGGGTTGCTGCCAGTTTCTTTTTCTGTTATCTTTGTCCCAGAAGGATACCCACCAGATGTCAGCCTGAGCTCTCCTTTATGAGGTATCTCTTTGGATATATGGGACACTGGGGAGCTGTCTGAGGAGACAGTCTTTCCCTTATAGGAGCTCAAGTGCTGAGCTGTGAGCTCCATTGTTTTGTTCAGAGCTGCTGGGCAGGTATGTTTCTAAGTCTGCTGCAGTGGAACTCATAACTGCCTTTTTTTCCCAGGTGCTCTGTCCCAGGAAGGTGGGGCTTTATTTATAAGTTCCTGTCGTGCTGCTGCCTTTTTTCAGAGATGTCCTACCCAGCGATGAGGTAGCCTAGTCACAGTCTGCCAGCAGAGGCGTTGCTGAGCTGCCATGGGCTCTGCCCAGCTACTGTGTGAACTTCCTTGCAGTTTTGTTTATAGGGGTATAGTTAGAACTGCCTCAGTAATGGTAATCTCCCTCAGTAATGGTCTGCCTCAGTAATGGCAGAGTGTCTCTGTAATGGTAGACTGCCTCAGTAATGGCAGACTGCCTTAGTAGTGGTAGACTATCTCGGTAATAGTGGATGATCTTCCCCCCACAGAGCTGGACTGTCCTGGGACCAGCTGTGCTTGCTCTGAAACTCTCAGTCCAGAGCATTTCAGATTGCTGGTCTTTGTGGGGGTCGGACCAGCAAAGCCAGTTCATCTGGCTCCCTGTTTCGGCCCCCTTTTATTCAGTTGAATGAGTAACTCTGTCTCCCAGGTGTTCCAGTCACCTGTTGTAACAGCACCCAGATTTGTGTGAGTTTTTGTGCAGAGACCGACTGCACCAGCTGTGCCACACTGGAGACTGATTGCGCATTTCCACCCGGGAATCTCCTGGTCTGTGGGCAGTAAAAATTTATTTGGAAATGCAGTGATCACTCACCCTCAGCATTTTCACTGGGAACTGCAATCCAGAGCTGTTCCTATTCGGCCATCATGGATCCTGCCTCCTGGCTGCATTTTTAAAAGCCTGGTTCTGTTTAAAGAATTACTTTAGTGACAATGAAAGACATATGTTTTCACGTAATTTGCCTGGTTATACTTGCAGAGTACTCCATAAAGATAATCTTTGGAAAAAATTTTAAAATGAACAAAGTTTTGTACAACCTATGGCTTTTACTTATTATCAATATGTAAAAGCACATTAAAAATATCCATTTTTACTCTACCTTTTCTGTCTTCCTATTTCCATATGCTTTAAGTGGGAAAAAAAAAAGGCAAGGCAACAAAATAAATTCCATCCACTATACTGAAGGCTGACATTTCAATGTCTTATTTGTAAACAGTCAGTAGTAAAAATCATTATCAAAAGAAGAAAAATAACTGTCACTTAAGTACCTCCTTAGTTCATAAATGTTTTCCGACAAAGAAGAAGTAAATGTACAGTATATATGACTACAGAAGTGAGTTATTTTTTTCTTTTCATAAACTTTTTTGCTTCTTTCAAAAGCTCTTCCACATCTTCCTTCTCTTCATCTTCTCTTCCTGGTTCCCAGTCAGAATCTTCATCTGTTGGCTCATAGTCTTCTTCCTCATCATCTAGAAAGCTGTCATTGAGGTCATACTCATTGGGTTGCTCAACATTATCATTATCTTCATCTAAAACATTTCTCACTGAAAAACAGAAGACTGTACACAACACAGCAATCACTACTCAACTTGGGATGATAGACATTTAACTATAAAATGTTTTCTTGCATCCAGAGAATTAATTTTACTAATGTATAGCTTACCACTACAAATTTCTGAAGGGCACCAAAATGATGCATTATTTATTATTCTAACTTTACCTACCATGAGGCTCCTGAAACTAAAATGGCCCATGAGATTAATAACAATGTTTTTTTAATACCATAATCATATTCACAACATCCCATCTTCCCATGTGGCCCCTCATTGGAAGAGGAAACAGCCTTAGGATGATAATGACCCCTCTACAGACAGAATGAGGAAAATAAATTGGGGACACTGTCGACATTATTAATGAGCCAAAGCAATATAGCTTATCTAAATCCAGCCCTAGGTCTGGACATTTTAGTTATAGAAGCCAATTATCATTTAGGCCAGTTTGAGATTTTGTTTTCAGGCACTTGCAAACAAAAGAATCCTAAGAGATATAAGGGCAAATATATATTGTGGACAATGGGGAAAGCATTTACTATATAAAAGGTTCACAGTTGTGTGTTTTTTTAATATAAGAAAAATTATTAAAATCAGCAATTCAACAAATTCACAGCAGAGATTTAAAAAAAATTTTTTCATAAGAACTGGAAACTGTATCTATGTTTAATGGGAGAATCATTTAAAGTTTTCATTTTGAGTATCCTGAAGTAAAATTACTTACCTGGAAGCATACTATGTCTGTATTCTATCTTGTGCTGGGGATTCTTCCTGAAAGAAGAATGCAAAAATAAGAGCTAGTCTTCCAATTACTAAAAATTGATGACTGTTTACCCTAAACTACAATACTGACTAATTTACAAATAAACTTAGGACCCAATAGGCCTCTTCTGAAAAAGCATTTTTTTGTTTAATTACAATATTTCCTTTGTGCCTATGCCATGCCAAGTGTATTTCTAGATGCAAAGATAGAGTGATGAACAAGACAAAGTTCTTACCTCAAGAACTTACACTCTAGAAAGATGGAAAAGACAAAATATGCATTTCCAAAATATATACTTTTAAACTGATGTATCACACATATAAAAATATAAAATAGAATCCAAAATTCATGACACAAATATCAAATATGTATATAAGTATGTGTGTGTATACAGTATTTAAAAATTCTAAGGCTCTCCTTGAATCTCAAGAAAACAGTATTCTCTCAAAAGAACACCAATCATTTGTTATGAAAAAACACAAAAGTTAATTTTGTTGAGAAATTCAGATAACATATTCTGAAGTCAAACAGGTATTAGTGTTTAAAGATCTATTTTTAATTATATGTACTTATGATACCTTCAGTTATTTTGTTAAACAAATGCTTCGGCACCCTATATGTAAAAGACATTCTCCAAATGTCCCAGCAGTAAAATCTAAGTCAACAGTTCATCATGACCGAACTGACTGATATCCCTCCCTCAGGGAACTGACAATGCAGGGCTGGGGGGTACACTAACAATAGATATGTGCTGAGGTGACAACTTTCAAATATGCCTGTGTCAGAAGTGATTATTTTTACATAACAAATATTCACTTGTTCATTCAGCAAATATTGGCTGAATATTTCACTATATTCTGGCTCTAAACAGGCACTGCGGATAAAATATTTAACCAGATACACATTCTTGCCCCTAAAGAGACAGTCTTGGGGCAGGAGCAAGACACACATTAAATAAGCATTTTCTTCATTGAAAAATAAGAATATCTTCTGTGAAGATAGGAAATACTCATTATAACATATCTTTTAGGACACAGAAACTAAGTCAAGCCTTAAATCTTCTCTTTCTCAGGCTAAATAACATTTGTTCTTTTTTTTTTTTTTCTTTTCAATAGGGCAAATAAAGCAATTTTTTAAAAAATTACATAACTTAGGTAAAATATCACTTTAACTTTTTCTGTAAGTCCTCCCATTCAACTTTATAATTCCACATCTACTGCAACAGAGAAAAATGGCCAGTCTCAGGAAGTGGCTCTCGAGCTCCGAACCTAGTCTCTGAGTCATTGAATGTATACATGTACTAGGAATGATCTCAGAGTAGCTACTCCACCTCCTCCAGGTGACAGATGAGCAATGTGAGCCTAAGGAGATGAAGTTCATGCCCAGGGTTGTGCTTTCCAACTTGGGTAATGATCATATTAAGGCAGAGGTCCAGGCAAAATTATCAACTAAATTCTTAAAATATCTCTGCAATAATCAGGGGATTAAATGTTCCACTTATAAATTCCTTTATGAGTCTATTGTAAAAATAAAGTATCCAACTGCTCTTTTTTTCATCATTTAAAAAAATATACACTGTTTTAAAAATATTTTATAATAAAAATTATATTTTAAAAATATTGTATATTTTTCTCTGTGCCTTTGACACTATTGTGATATTAAAAACAAAGGAAAATAAATACTTTCTAATCACATAGAACCATCTTCTTGAAAAATAATTGTTTTCTTGTTTCCAGCATTGCCTACTATCTTATATACTTCCTCCCAATACTGACCTATCTATCTATCCATCCATCCATCCATCTATCTTAGAGACAGGTCTCACTCTATTACTCAGGCTAGAGTGCAGGGCACAATTATAGCTCACTGCAGCCTCAAACTCTTGAGCTCAGGTGATCCTCCCACCTCAGCCTCTTGAGTACAGCTAGGACTGCAGGTTTGAGTCACTGAGCCCATCCTAATTTGCTGTATCTCCATCATAATTTGTTGGGCAATAGGAAGTAATTATAAATACATAAATTTAAATTACTTGACAAAACCAAGAAAAATAGTGTTACTGCTTTTAAAAGTTGTGGTAATCATGAAATCTATTTTCCAAGATAGGTTTTAACTAGTGTTACTTTCAAGAGTTTCAACTGATAACCCTGGAATCTGTAATGCTATCTGGCAATTTTTTATAATGAGGGAAATTTGCTCTGTGTTGTCCAATATCGAGTCACTAACTGTATGTGACTGTTAAGGCCTTGAAATATGGGTAATAAAGCTGAGGAACAGAATTCCAAATTTTATTTACTCAATTCAGATTTAAATGTAAACAGCCACATGTAGCTAGTGGCTATCATACTGGACAACCGTTTATTTCAAAAATCAAGAAAAGGGAGATCCTTTCTCCCCAGCCAAGATTAATTACAATTAATCATCTCAAAACCAACAAACAAACATCCTCTTTCTTATGAAGTAACTCTCAAACATGGTAAACATTTTATAGGTAGAAATGGCATTACTGAAAATATAAGGTCAGTGACTACAGTCAGAAAGACATTAGAATCCTAACTCAGCCACCTCCCTGTATGTTGTCTAAGCTTCAGTTTTCCCATTTGTAATAGGGGGATAACAACAGAACGCATACTCACATGAAGCTGTTTTGAGGATTCATGAGATAATGCACAATAAGTCTTTAATCTAAAGGCTCAGCAGGTGGTAAATAAATAACGTTAGCCTTTGATCCATTCATTATTAGTTTAAGAAACAGTCACAGAATACTTATTACATGTCAGGCCTTGTGTCAGGTGTGACACTCATACCTAATCTCTCTTCTTTTCCTACAATGTGAGCATTAAACACAGTGCAAAAGTGTAACTGCACAGTTAATTAAGGTTCTAATTCATCAGCTTTGAAAAGTGGAAAAAAGATTCTATATGAGATTCTGTGTTTAGCATAATTAACCCAAATTTGACCTTTTGATGAAAAAGAAATTCAAACTTAAAACAAAACAAAACTAAACAAAAACTGGACAGTTTAGCTGTGATGAAGACAGTTGCTAATGAACAAAGCTATGGTGATGATTTGTGGGAAAATCTTTCCTACTGACCATGCTAGTGCAGGTCACTGACTTAAGTTCAGTCTTTATTAAAGTATAATTAATGCTGAGCATCAGGAACAGAGAAAGATAAAAATGGGGAACACTAATACCAAAGATATTCTTTATCTTTACTTTAGAAAAAAATTACTGGCTGGGCATGGTGGCTTGTGCCTGTAATCCCAGCACTTTGGGAAGCCAAGGTGGGTGGATTATTTGAGGTCAGGAGTTCAAGACCAGCCTAACCAACATGGTGAAACCCCATCTCTACTAAAAATACAAAACAGTTAGCCAGGCGTGGTGGCGTATGCCTGTAATCCCAGCTACTCAGGAGGCTGAGGCAGGAGATTCATTTGAACTCAGGAAGAGGAGGTTGCAGTGAGCCGAGATCACGCCACTGCACTCCAACCTGGGTGACAGAGCGAGACTCCATCTCAAAAAAACAAAAAAAAAAGGTTACTAGTCATTTGGAATTCTTTTCAGAAACATTTTATTTTGAAAAATTTTTACACCTACTTTAAAAAGCAGGTAAGACTAGTACACTGAAATTCCATATAACTTCATCAAAATTTTTCAAGTGTTAACATTCTACATTGGTATCTTATTGTTATTATCTATCTATAATTATTTCAGATTAAGGCTTTTTCTCCTTCTTCTAATATATGTATGCTTCAGGTACCAAGCAGTCCTCTTTTCCTGCTTTGCCCTTAAGAGTTAAGTAGGATTATTGAAAAGTTAAATACGGCCTTAATTGTTTGCTACTAGAGCCTCCTTCAACACTGCTTTAGAAATGCTCAATTAACTAAATGTCAGGCTTTTAAAAAAAAAGTACAGTAATGAAACCTAGGGAGTTAGAGACTCAAGTATGGTTTAAGCACCAAATACTGATTGAAAGACTGCTGACATCAGTTGTCAGGCTAGAAAAATTAAAAAGGAGAGCAACTTTTTAAAAAGAGAAAGTAAAGACAGGGTATCGAAAAGTGGGGGAGTGGGGTTCAACCTTAAAGTTTCAGAAGATAGTTCCTCATTCTCTATTATCTTGGAACACATTCACAGTTGCACTCACATGCACCATCTACATGCTCCAACCTCCTACTTAGGAAACAGCAAGCCATTTCAGAATAAATGAACAAATAACTATGAAAGAAGTGTTACATTTAATTATTCCAAAAAGGAAGAGCAGAAAATGTAATGTGAAATTTTATATTTAAAAATGGTAAAAAAAAAAATTCAGACCCACAAACAGGTTTTCATCTGCCTTAGAAGGTAAAAGTTATTTCTTTGAGGATCTTCCATCCTTTCCTAGAACTTGCTCTTTTCATAAAGACAGGTAAAAGACTGTAATGCAGAACAGAAGAAACTGAGGTGGTGTTTATCAATTGGACACTGACCTTCCAACCTAAAGCAAAAGAATTATTATCAATAAAATTTTGCTAGATATTTCACTGAAAATGAAGGAAAAGAATATCTATGATAGGCCCAAAAGTTTCCTGCTGGGGTATATATTCTCTTTGATGATAAACAGAACTCACAGAATAGATGGACTTTAACAAGAGAATGAGCCCAAACAGAGAAGATAGTTTATCACATGCAAAAGCACACACTCAAAAACAAATTTTAGATATGTTTGGTTCACATAAAAATTTAAATGCTAAATTGAGTCTTCTGAATGCTAAATTCTTAAATTATCTTTTCCTTCAAGGTCCTTCATGATCTCAGTGTCACTCTTTATTAGCAGCTCAATCTTTTGTTTCCACTCTTAGGGGGTACATCGTGATTTTTCCCCATCGATAGAAATTTGTTCATAGCTTTTTTACGAAGTACATTCTTCTAACTCTGTACTACTACCTAAGTTAAAATCATATCTCTCTCATGAAAGTAGCTTTGATAATACTGGAAAATAGCTCCAGAATGCATTGTCTATATTTA